GAAAGGGAGCAAGGGGGTACTTAAAGAGGAGGGTCTAAGGAGGGATAGAGCCCCATTATTCTGAAAAATTCAAACAAATCATCATTAATGTTGCTTTTGTGTGAAACCAAACTATTTTTCTAAATCTATGTAAAAAAAATAAATTAACTACAATCTACACTTACCCTCCAATTACATAAAGCTTATACGGATAAGTTTAGGACTGTTGGCCTTGGCCCTACCTTAGATTAGTAGTCGTAGTAGTAGTAGGACAACCCTTTCCCATTCAATAGGAATTCCTCTCTTTAAGACATTGAGTTGAAATCTGGAAATGGTAAATCTTATTTACCTTTACAATATAAAGCAAAATATTACTCCATTTCTTAGTTGTTCCGCATACACATGCCTCGGCTCTGAATTGTGTGGGGGTGGATGGAGCCACATGATTTGTCACACTCCACCGCACGCAGAGAAATAATTCACCTGGAAACAGGAAAAAGCAACCAGCATAAAACCAAATAACGCTTCCCACATTTTCTTTTCCTTTTTTTTTTTAATCAGCTGACTGAGGGTATGTGACGCCATAATTGAAATTCCATTATTCCCAATGGGCAATGGCAATTCTTGGGAAAGGAAAAATATAAATAGATTTAATTTCATCCCATTTTTCTATTTTCTTTATTATTTACACTGAAATCGAGATTTATTTTCTATAGACTGAGTTTTTGGAGTTAATTCGCATGAAAAAGGGTATAAATAGGTATTAGAAAAGGGTGCAACGGAGAAAAGGTAAAGCAAATAAGGGACGAGTGGAATTGGTTTTAGTTTATGAAAAGGCGAGGCGTGATCAACGGATGTGATTTAAGGACAAGATGGGGGACCCACGAAAGATTTGTATGGTGTATGAGATGGATCAAGGCTAAAACCCACTAAGATTTCCCCCAAAAAAAAACCGGAAGCTCAAATCTTACAAGCTAAACTACAAGACACTGAGGGACCAAAGCATCCAACGTGGGGATTGGGACCCACTTAATCCCGTAATCATCGGGCCATGTAAACCGCCGGACTTTAACTGTAAGTGGGGCACATACACGCAATCTCGAGCCACCCGCGCCCGCACTTGATTTCTACTCTCCACGCCATGTCGTTTTTGATTATCCTTTTAATTGTTTCTTTCGACTAAAACATGCATGTTTGGCTAACAGTTGTGTCAATTCATGCACTTTATTAGGTTTCAAACGCATGAAATAACTTTAATTATTACTTTTTCAAAGAATGTTTTCCGAATTGTATTTCGACGGAAAGATTAAGTTAGGCGTAATTTGAATTCATCAGACTAATCGAAACAAAAATTAATTAATTTATTTTTTAAAATATCCAGGTGAAAGTGTTGACTATGGTTTCATTCAAAATTAAAATCGGATAAAGAAGAGTTTCTACTTATCTATAAGTTGACAATTTAACTTTCTTTTCATGTTTCGAGAAAATTAAAATATTAACGTTTAAGTTTTAGATTGACGTATGAACTAGTTCAATTAGTCATTGTTTAAAGATTCCTAATCTTAAAAGATAAATAAAGATACCTATGTCTTTCAAAGATGGTATGCTTATTGATCAATGTGACAAAGAAAGTCAAAATATGACCTAATTCTAACCTTGTTTTGTTGAATGTACAAGTATTATTCAAACATGCTTTAATTTGTCTACTAATTAACACTCAGGGAAGATATTAATTACCTTACTCAATCTACTAAACATAATTTGTTAACATAGGCCTTCCTATTTAATTAGGAAGGTTAAGTATTTTTCACGACTTTGATAGAAAACTTATTACTAGTTAAATAATAAAATAACAATAAAAATTCTCATCCAAAACTTCTATTAATCAATTTGTAATGATAAATTAAACAATAAAATCAATAAAATTGTACAATTCATATAGTAATATTTGTTATAAATAAAAGACGAGACGTGTGAATTTAAAACAAAATCAAAACACATTGTTTTTGACCAAAAGTCAAATCGTATCCACTATTAGGGTCCTAATCATAAGTTGGCAATGAACCCAAAAAAAGGAAAGGATTGTGATATTCTTTTGACAATTATAAAGAGAAAAAAAAAGAAAAATAGAGTAAAATTAGGCTTTGAACAAACAAATTCAACAAAGAAAACTATACTAGTAGAAGAAAAGAAGTGCAAGGGT